TGCGGGCCGTGAGGGGGGCACGGGCCCGTGCGCCCGGCCGCCTCTCTGTCCCGGGGTTCATGCTCCCGCTGCTCGGCCGCCCCATGCATCCGTATGCTGACCGCTCCGCCTCAGCGGGCGGCGTGAGTTCCGAATCAGGCTGACAGGTCCAGCGAGGCATCGCCGCAGTTCCTACCGGAACAGTACCGTCACAGAGTTGGCGGCTGCGCGTTCCAGGCGAGGCCGGGCCGGTTGAGGGAAGAGCAGACGCCTTTTCTTTCCCGGTGAGCACAACCGTGCTTAGCCTGAGCCCCCAGTGGCGCACCCACGCTCTGCGCTGGGAGAACCCTTCCGGCAAGGAACCCAAACCCCTGCAGGAAGGGGGTGTCTTTCTGGGACCGGGAAGAGGCGGCTAGTTACATCCAGCATCTGCAGCAACTCCCGGGCGTTCCCATGCCGGGGAGGCTTTAACTGCTGGCTCCTCGCTCTGCCAGCGTGGCGAAAATGCGCAGTGCAGTGGCTGATCCTGGACGGAGGGTCTAAGAATGCACCAGGCTTGTCGTTTTTCCAGTCCACGGAATTCAGCTGAGCTGGTGGAAGAATCTTCTCTGTCATCACGAGCGTTTAATTCTTTCCTTTGCCGTTCACACTTGCGTTATTGCTCAATAACCATCGAAAAGAACCCGGGGGGGGATACTTTCAGTTTAGTTTTATTATATTATAACGGATCTGCAACTACAGCTTATTTCGGCCAAAACATTTTGTTGTTGTATTCCAAACCCTTAAAAAATATCTACGTTAATTGTATTTTTCTATTATTAAAAAAAAAAATCATCTACCTAGCATACCAATGCCACTACAGCACTTGAAAGGGGGCGGTACTCGTGGCGATTCTAGGGGAATTAACTCTTGCAGTCGCCTTTCTTCCTTTTCACCTTCTTGGCGGCTTCGGCCTCAGGTTTCAAAGAGTTTGTTAAAAGCTGTTCCGACTTCAGAAACCATGTCAGTGGCAGTCATCGAGCGGCCGAATTTCTGAAAGGCTTGGTGGTTTGACTGCCTCGTGAGGGAGCAAGCGCCGAAGGCGGCCACGAGAAAGGGGTTTTGACTGAAAGGGAAAACAACGGAGTTACAAACACACAGTCAGTCACAGAACGGTTTGGTTTGGAAGGGACCTTAAAGACCATCCAGTTCCAACCCCCCTGCCATGGGCAGGGACACCTTCCACTAGACCAGGTTGCTCAAAGCCTCATCCAGCCTGGTCTTGAACACTTCCAGGGATGGGGCATCCACAGCTCCTCTGGGCAACCTGTTCCAGTGCCTCACCACCCTCTCTGTGAAGAAACTTCATCCTTCCCTTCAGGAGACTGAAGTGTCCCCTGGCAGCCTTGACCTCCCTTTCCTCCCCGTGTGCCGGGTGACCCAGTGTAGCTTTACTCCGCAGGGGGGAAGAGGAAGACCTGGGGATACGGACAAGAGATGATTTTTAACGGGGCCATAGTCGCTGCTCTGGGACCTTCATTGGATCAGCTGTAACGGTGTGCAGGGAGAGCTGCAGACCGTGACGGACATTAAGGAACCCTCCTACTGCCTCCTGGGTGCTTACAGCTGCCTACGAGAGCACCCCCAGCCCCAAGTGCTAAACCTCCCCTGGGAGGGCAGCACGGCCCTGTCCCCCCGCAGAGCACCGGCTCGCAGCCTGGGCCATGGGAGCCTGTCCTGCAGCACCAGAGCAGAGGCAAGCACGTGCCGAGCGGCTCCGCAGCCGGCCCAGGGCTCCAGCTGCCGGCTGGTTAAGGGCCTTGCAAAGCTCGGCCGTGGCTGGGCCACTGCTGCCCGTAGGTCACCAGGGACTCCTGTGCCAAGCGCGGGTCCTGGGGAGGGTCACGGTGTAAAAGACAGGCAAAGCAGGCGGTGAGTTGGCAGGGCAGCTTGGAGCATCTTCTCCTTGAAAGCCACGATGTCGTACGCTCACCGAGCTGCAGGAACGACTGTTTAAGCCACCTTGACCGTGAATCCTGGATGCCCAAACACTGCTCTGAAACAAGAGATCTGAATGGGGGAGGTTTAGGTTGGATATCAGGAATAAGTTCTTCACGGAGAGGGTGGTGAGGCACTGGAAGAGGTTGCCCAGAGAAGCTGTGGATGCCCCATCCCTGGAAGTGTTCAAGGCCAGGCTGGATGAGGCTTTAAGCAACCTGGTCTAGTGGAAGGTGTCCCTGCCCATGGCAGGGGGGTTGGAACTGGATGGTCTTTATGGTTCCTTCCAGCCACCACTGGGATTCTAAGAGCAGTACCCAGGCTCCTGGGCTCACGCCAGCACCTATTTCCAGGTTCCCACTTAAGCAGTTTGATACACACCATGCTCCAAAGCCATCACCCTGGCATCCTGCCTCCTTCAACAGGAGCATCCCACCTGCTGCCCTGTTA